GTCGGGCACGGGGTCGGCTGAGCGGCTGGGGCTGAGGCTCAGGCCACCACCGCCACCCGCCCGGAGAAAGCAGGGCTCCCCCAGGTGGCCCTGGGAGAGGTCGTCCCCCTCAGAGAAGCTGTCAGCTTTGTAGCTGGCATAGAGGGGGCTGGCGCGGCCTTCAGGCTTCCGGCCTGGGCTTCCCATGCTGCCACCGTAGTAGCGTTCGGAGAAGCTGCGGGGTGGGCCGCGGCCCATGGTGGCGGCCGGGTAGGAGTAGGCACCGATGTCCTCGACGCTCAGAGGCCGCCAGTGGCCCCGCATGTCGTCCCTGGAGAGCCGGGCGGACCCCGGCTTGGCACGCAGGCTCCACAGGTTCGGGGGCATCAGTGCCTGCTGAGGGCCTGGGGAGGCTGGGAAACGGTAGGACTCGGCCGGGTACGGAGACATTGTCCGGGAGAACCCCTGGGCCACCTCGGCCTCGAGTGGGGAGGCGACCGCAGCTGCGGCCTTGGCGAAGTGGGGGCTGCTCTCATAGGTGGGCAGCTTTCGGCTGAAGAGCTCGTCACGGCTGCTCAGGTAGATGGCCTGCTGCGAGGCGGTGAGCGTGCTGGCCTGCGCGTGCTCCTTCTCCTCGGACGTGGCGCTGAAGCTGGAGTAGGAGCTGGATGTGGGCAGTGAGCCCGCGTAGCCGGGGAAGGCGTCATGGCGGAAGCTGGCGGGGAAGGCTGCCGCCTCGGCCTCCTCCTCCTCCTCGGCCGTGCTGTCGGTGGAATTCTGGGCCTGCAGGAAGCCCACGTCGGCCACGGGTGCGTCCATGCCGGGCCGCTGGTCGAGCTCTGGCTCCTCGGGGTGGTAGAGGGCCGAGTCGCCGCAGCAGAGGTCCTCCTTGTAGGGGGACCCCGGGCCCGAAGCATCCACGCTGTCGCGGAAGGCCAGGTCGCGGGCCGAGGCGTCAGACAAGTGGGAGGACAGGCTGGCGGGGTCGGGCTTCTCCAGCACCTTGGCGATGACGCAGGTGGGGACGCTGTCGGCATAGGCCGGGCGGCAGAGCGGGGATGGCAGGCTGCGGCCGTGCTTCTCCAGGTGCAGGCTCATGCGCTCCTGGAAGTCCGAGGGCAGCTGCAAGGGGTGCAGGGCAAGGGGAGGCCACAGTCAGCGGGAGGCGAGACAGGCGAGGGGCTCCCGGGTGGTCCTGGCACACCTGCGGGTGCTGTCGGCTCCTGGGGACCCCAGACACCTTGACCCACTCCACCCCACGCCGACAGGGCCGGCCGAGCCACCTGTCCCAGCTGCTGCCCCGCGGGGACTCACCTGCTGTCCCAGCCCAGCTTCCCCACCCGGTCCCACCACTGAAAGAGGCAGACTCAGAAACAGATGCAACAAAGATTGAGGGCCCCCGGCGCCGCACGGGGCTCATCGCGCTACTGTTTGATCTATTTTGTATCTCAGGGACGGCCCACGCCCAGGAAAGGGGACCGGGGACAGGGTTGGGGTCTGTGGCTGTGTGGGGTAGGCCTGGCCAGAAGGGCCTCCTGGGCCAGCTACTAAGGTGAGCGCAGTTGGGCGGGTGGGTCCTGCTCTGGCACCAGGCTGTGTGGCCTGCCTGTCCAGGGCCAAGCCCCTTTTCCTGAAGTCCACTTCTCAGAAATGGGACCATCTGTAACTGTGCCCAGACCTCAGGCTGCTGTGAGGGCACTCCAGGGTCAATGGGGAAACGCAGGGGCATGGGCAGCTTGGGCAGGTGACAGGGGCTCCTAGCAAGGAGGCCAGTGGCTGTCCGGGCCAGTTGTTGTGGGGTGGGGGGTGGGGTCACGTTACCTCGGACACCTTATGGACCCTGCCGTAGGTCTGGCTGCATTGCAGCAGCTGGGCCGCTAGATTGCAGTCCTTCCTATAGAGCTCCTGGAAGAAAGAGAAGGCGTTGGGTCCCCCGCCCGGCCAATGCCCAGGGCCCGGCAGGGCGGAACCTGCTGCTTGTCTGGCAGGACTGTGCAATAAGTGGGGTGGGGTCACGTTACCTCGGACACCTTATGGACCCTGCCGTAGGTCTGGCTGCATTGCAGCAGCTGGGCCGCTAGATTGCAGTCCTTCCTATAGAGCTCCTGGAAGAAAGAGAAGGCGTTGGGTCCCCCGCCCGGCCAATGCCCAGGGCCCGGCAGGGCGGAACCTGCTGCTTGTCTGGCAGGACTGTGCAATAAGTGGCCTGTTCCTTTCTGGCTTTGCACTGCCCACAGGTGAGGGTCTGTTCCGCCCTGGAGCTGGAACTGCCAGGTAGCTGGTCCTGGGGCTGCCCAGGTGTTCCCTGGGACTGGCCACTGGGTGGGGGCGCTGCGGTGGAAGAAAGATCCTGGCTTGCCCACCTGGTCTGGGCTTCCTGTTCCTGGGCCTCCAGGAGTCCTTCCAAAGGGCACCCAAGAGGGTCAGGGATGAGCCCCAGCCCCTGCCACCCAGTCCTACTCCCACTCACACTGGGTGGCCTGGCATTGGGGCTGGGTAGGGGCAGCAAGTGTGTGACTCTGGGTGCAGGCAAGGACTGGCTCAGCCTCTGAGCTGAAAACAGATGCAAACAGTAGGATCCATCAAGGGGCTTTGGATTGGTCTTTGAAAATCTCTGTTGCATGTGCCTGTGGTTGTGCAGGGCTTGCACCTGCTCCAGGGAGCCCCACAGGCAGCCCTGGGGCCACCTGCATCACCCTGCGAGTGCTCCCAGCTTGGGGCTGTGCCATGGTGCCAGCTTGACGGGTCCTGTGGCTCCTTTCTGCCCCCCCCCTTGCACTGTCCAGCAGGGTGGAAGGAACTGGGATCCTAGGCCTTTCAGGAAGAGCACAGCTTGCTTACAGTAAACTGATCACAGGCACCAGAGGGCTGTGGGCACTGCCCAGCCGGCCATAGCCAGTAGGGGATGCCACTGGGCGGAGTGGGTGGCCCTGGACAGTTTCCATTCTGTACACGGCCCCAGGGGAAGATGCCACAGTGACCAAGGCCCTGGGCTGGTGCCAGAGCCCCTGGACTGTCCATAGCCTAGGGAGGAAGCACAACCTGAATCCTCAAGCTTCTCCTAGCCTCTGTAGCCACCACCCTGCCATCGTCTTGCACTCGACTACGGCCCTGCCCCCATGCCCCTGCAGTCTTTCTGCACACAGTACGGCAGCCAGTAAAACTATGAGTGCAATCACTCACACGCCTCCCTGCTCAGGACCCACCAGGGCCTCGTTTCCCTCGGAATGAAGCCAGCTTCCTGACAGGAGCCTGCACAGCATGGCATCGGGGCTTTGGGGTTTCTCGTGGCCTCTTTGCTACTCTCTAAGCTTCCCAGGCAGCCCTGGGTACCTCAGTCCTTCCAGCCTGGAAGAAACACTCCGCTCCAGACATCACGTAGCCAGGTTCCCTTGGCCTTCAGCCTCTTCTGAGATGCCCTGGTGGAACTTGCAGACCCCGTGGCCAGAAACCCCCTGGTGCTGCTCCTTGCTTTACTGTTGCCTAGCTGGCTTTCTAACACACTGCTCTTTGTGTGGTCATCTGCTTTACTGTTTTCCCCACTCAGATGTAAACTCATGTGAGCAGGGTTCTTTATTGTTTGGGCAGGCGTTGGTCACACCATACTCTTGGAGCCATGTAGGTCTGGCAGGGTGGATGGGTTCTTAGGGAAGCATCTTCAGCTGCCAGGGTCCCTGGAGTGTAGCTGGGCCACCTCATGGGGGTCCCTGAGATCCCAGGTGACCCAGGGGCTGGCCCAGGGCAGGAGGCCTGAGTGGCCACGCCGTACCCTGGGGTCAAGCCTTGTGTCTCTGGCTCAAGTCCTTCCAGCCCATCTGCTGGAGCCCTGGCAGCATCACCTTGAAGACGCCGGCCTGCCTGCCCAATTCCCAGCATATGCCTGTGCCCTCCGTGGGCGAACGCCTTGGCACTCACGTTGTCCTCTGACAGCTTGTCAATGGTCACCTTGGCCTCCAGCAGGTGGCTGTTGAGGGCGACGATCTCGTGGCTCAGCGCACGCTTCTCTTCCTCGTAGTGCTGACCCTGGAGGACGGGGGCAGCGGAAGGAGGTGGTCAGAGTCAGGGCCCAGCTGCCGGCTGAGGCCTGTGTTGTGCTGGTACCTAGGAATACCGTGCTGGTGGATTAAGGGCGGCCTCACCATGCGGTACAGCTTGTCCTCCAGCTCCTGGTTGATCCTCTGCAGCGCCATGTAGTTGGTCTGAATCCTGCAGCAGGAGGCAGTGGGGTCTGCTGAGCACAGCTGACCTTCCCACAACCCTTGGGGCCACACTGTCTGAGTGGGGGGTGCAGGACCCCAGCACCCTGGGCCCCCAGCCCAGCCTGGGCCTGCACAGGTACTCCTGACATGGGCTAACTCCTCCAGGCTCCCCAGGCCAAGGTTCAAGGCCATGCTGTCCTCCCCACACCCAGCGGGGCACCTTACAGGTGACTCGGAAAGCTAGCTTTTTTGTTTGCAAGACACTGCCGGGCTCTCCTCGCTGCCTGGTCACTCCCACCTCACATGAAGCTCTGAAAAGCCCCGCACATTAGCAGGGAGATGCCAGAGACCTAACAGGGACAGAGACGGACCTCCCCATTGGGTGGGACTCCATGCTGGGGCCAGCGTCTGTCCACTGGACAGCCTTGGTGTCCTGCTGCCATCCCCTCTTGCTAGTAGAGAGAAACTCAAAAAGGTGCTTGTGGCCGGATGTGGCAGTGCGGGACCCGACCGAGGTCCAGTGTGTGGCCCGGGCATGGGCTGCACACAGTCTGGTGGTAACACACACAAGGGCCCACAGGCTGGAGTGCTCAGGGAGGGGCAGAGCCCCTGGCAAGTCCTCCTCTGGGCCGCACCAGCTGGTACTCTATAAATATTTGACAGGAACAAAATCAACAGCAAAATTTGCATTCTCTTCTGCATTCTCTGTTTAAGAAGACAGGAAAGCATGTAATATGTTTTAGAAAAATAACCATCTTACATGTGAAGAAAAAGATTATTTTAGAAAACTCTGCTGTTTAAGATAATCTTGTCCTTCAAGGCTTCGTTAGCCTCCGTGGCCCTCCAAGGGCAGCTGCGAATGTAGCTCATCTGGAGGGCTGGACAGCACTTTCTAGCCTGGGCCGGGCACAGAGGCGGGACCCTGGTGGACCACCTAGATGGCTCACCCCTGCCACAGTGAACATGAGAGCAGGGCATGGGGCTGCCCTGAGGGGTGCCTGGGGCCCTGGGCTCCCGCCTTAGAGGCATTAAGTGACTGTGAGGTCCCTGTCTGCAAGCAGGGTCACAGCCAAGTAGGCGCCTGGCCCTCACCGGCGCAGCTTCTCTGTGACCTTCTCCAGCTCCTCCTGCGCGCGCCGCAGCTCAATCTCCAGGTAGTGGCGTGTGGAGTCGAACTCGGTCTCCAGCTTCTCCAGCTTGTGTGTGGTGTAGGACAGCCGCTTGCGCAGCTCGCCCTTCTGCTCCTGCAGCGCACTGCAACGACACGCGTGGCGGCCCGGACAGGGGCGCTGAGTATGGGGAACCCCTTGCCCGTGTGGGTCACCTGGGCACCCCGCAAACCGCCAGGCGCACTGACACACACTTGTATGCGCGTATTCTCTCTCTCTATCTCTCTCTCTCACACACACACACACACACACACACACACTCCTTTCCTTTCGAGGCCGCGGCACTCCGGACAGATGGCCCCCCAGGAGGCAGGGCCTCTGATGCTGAGTCAGTGTGCCCAGGTCCACCCTGCACCAGTGTCCTTCCTGCGCGGTCCCCTTGGGGGACACTGGCCTCAGAACCCTGCCACCACGTGGTAGAAGGTGCACTCCGAGGCCAGAGGACCCCAGCTTTGTTCCTTTTCAGACCAGGCCCTGTACACAGCAAGCACCCCTCCTGAGCTGGCCAGAGGTCACAGCACAAGGTGCCGCCTCTCTATTGGGTAGTGGGTCCCCCTGAGTCAGGAGACTCACTCGGCCAGCTCTGCTCCCCTTTCCTCTGGAAGCTTTCCAGTATCTCCCACAGGGGGCTCCTTCACCCTGACTCTCTTGAACTGGAACTGGGCACAGGGCAGAGGGGCTGAGAACTGAATCTGGGTCAGGGTGGGGACCCCCTGGCTGCTGGTTTCTGGTGGGTTTGCCATGGACAAGGGATGTGGGGTGCAGAGCGCCCACTCGGACTGGGCAGGCAGGAGGCCTGCAGAGCGCCCCACTGGAGACCCTCGCATGTGCTGTGGGGTCTGGCGCACACGGGTGAGGGCTTCCTTCCCTCTGTCAGAGGTGCCCTGGGCTGAGGCCCCGTGAGCAATGACGCATGGCACCGCGGGCACCCTCCCAGCAAGCCTCAACCAAGTATTCTTGGATTCCTGCCCGGGTCTATATTTTTAAAAATAAATAAAAATAAAGAGTCGCACACGTCTTTTGGGAATCTCGGGAAGGGCGAGGCGGGTCCTCCCAAGAGTCATTTCCCAAAAGAGGATGCAGATCTGCAAGGGAAGCCCAGTTGGCCCGGCAGGGAGCTCCGCTCCCCTCCAGGCAGCCCTCTGTCCCCCCATGTCCCCCACCCCTTGGGCTCCCCGATCCACAGCCTGGGCCTCTCAGCCTTTTGCCTGCAGCTCCTCCCCAGCCCTGTCCATCCAGGGACCCCTTCCACCTGCCTCATCCACAGTGCGTCCATTGCCACCCCTACCTTCCCCACCTGCCTGCTCTGTTCCTATGTCCTCACAGCAGGACTGGGACCCCCAACCGACCTGGGCAGCCAACAGCTGAGAGTGGGGAGGAACCCCCTCGCTGGGCCTGCCGGCAAGGACTCTGAGGGACACCAGCTCCAGGCCTCAGTTTACCCTTTCAGACACACCGCTTCACCAGGCTTCAGATACAGCCCCCAGCCCTCTCCCGCCTGGTTTTGCCCCAGCACCTCTCCTGTCATCTCAAAGGCCAAGCCTCCTCCACACCCAGCCACACAGGGACCCCTGCTCAGGCCTCAACACCAGCTGCAGCCTCTCTCAGCCTCACGTCCAACTGTCACCCTGGCCACTTGATGGTCTCCTCTTCATGCTCAACTGAGCCCATGACCACACCCATAACCCACAGGGCCACGCCCACTCTAGATCCCAGGTCCATGCCCCAGCAGACCCTGTGTGCCCACAGCACCCCTTCCCCAAAGCTAGACTGCCCCGTCCCCTCAAAGCGGGTCACAAAGTCCTGGGGCTCAGCTTGTCAGAAGCTGTAGACAGGAGTGCACTGGGAGGTCACCTGAGTCCAGCACGCTTCCCTCCAGGGCACTAACCAAGCCCCACCTGCCTGTGGCCTCACTGTCCACCTGCAACATGGAGTGGCACACCCATGCATGGGGAGGAGGCTGCCACTGGTCCCTGTGCTACTGGGTACCACAGCTGCCGAGCACAAAGGTTTACCTTGGAGGTGGCACTGTGGGAATGGGGAAGTTACTGGGCCCAAGGTTTTGGGCCTTGGGTGAGAGTATAGACTGGCACATATCCTGCGCTGGGGTTCCTGGGTCCAGAAGCTGCTCCTTACCTGAAATGGGGGGCTAGCGTGGGGCTGTGGTCACCTCTCTGATCTGTGAATCAAGGTGGGACCTGGTCCCACACTGGCAGTGTGTCCTGGTCTTCTCCCTGCCCCTGGGGAGCCCTGGACAGCCACGCTGAATGCAGCAGGTCCTGGGGTCACCTCCTCCCCAGGGACCCTCACTGGTCCCTGAGCCCCAGGACACGGCGGATGCGGGACAGAGACCCCTCCCCTCTCCAAGCTCCCTAATGTCTTGGGGAGGTGGACGCACACATGAGATGGATGTCTGGCGATGGACACAGACACTGTGGAATGGAGGGAGACACAGGTGTTTTACCTGTCCCACAGCGAGGGTGAGGACCTGGCCAGGCGGCCCTGCAGGACTCGGGGCTGCCCGAGGCACGAGGGCACCCAGGGGCTGTGCAGCCTGTGGGTGAAGAGGACAGAGCTGCTCAGAGCAGGTGGGCGACATGGGGAGGGGGTGGGGGCCACACCAGGCCCGCCACCGAGTGGCCAGCTGCAGCCCTCAGCTGAGACCAAGAGAGGTGGGTGCTCTTGTTCCCTGTAGTGTGGCAGAGACAGGGCTGCAGAAGCCAGAGAAGGGGTCCTGCCTGGTACCTGTCAGTGCCTGGTGGGCACCCTGAAGGTGCTGAACTCATGGGTGGCACTGAGTCTCTCTGTGAAGGATCCCTTACTTACTGGTCACTTACTGGGGCTCATTTGTGCTGTCCTGTCCCCACCCACAGGCCTAGAGCCACCATCTTAGCCCAGAGGAGGGATCTTCCCTGACTCCACTGGGGTGTGCAAAACCCATGGGTCAGGGAGGTAGGGGGCTGTGGGATTGGGACATGCAGTATCCTGGGCACTGTGGAACCTGGGGGAGTTCAGAAGCCTTCTGGGCGAGACAGCAGACAGGTGCAGGAAAGGTCACGAGCCTGGAGGACAACTGGACACACTCCAGGGCCCCTGATGTGTGCTGGGGGACGTCCCTTCCTGAGACTTAGGGGCAGCTGCAGAGCTCTTGGAGACCTATGGGCAGGCAGCAGGGACACCAGGGCTGCCTTGCTGGCCATGGGGCAGAGATGGACGTGGGATGAAGCTGAGATGGGTTGGTTCCATTCACAAAGGTCCGACGCTGGCCCAGGAACCAGGCTTTCAGAGGCGCCCGAAGACAGGCAGATGTGTGTGTTGGGAGAGCGAGCAGTGTAATCCCATTTAGAACTGCCACGGACCAGCATGGAAGGAGAGAAATGTTCATTTGTTATGCCTGGGTGGTAGGACGCTGGGTAATTGAAAAAATTTTTATAGGTTTCAGGATATGTCATATTTTCCATGGATGAAAAAGCAGGGGGAAAAATTACTAAGGATCACATTTTGGCACCAGAAAGAAAGGAAGTCACCACATGCATTGTTTTGACAGGCTGAGAGGTAGCAGAGGTCAAGGAAAGCCCCTGCTTCCCTGCTTCGAGCCTGTTTCCTCATCTGGAGGATGGAGCCCCTCGCTGCCCGGCAGAGATGCAGTCAGGGCAGCACGCTGTGGGGCAGGGGTGGGGTGGGGCATGGCTTGGACACTGGCCAGATTGCACTTAGGGTTCTGGTCCAGGATCCCCTTGGCACAGAGGGTGAGCAGGATGCTCCGGCCAGAGCAGTCAGAAGGGGCCTGAGGAGGCTAGCCATGGCCTTGGGTGTTCCTCTCTCCTCTCCAAGGACCAACCCCACCTGCGAGTCCCTCTGCTGGGCGGTCTCTAGTCAAGCTTTAGTAGCACAACTTAGAGTTGACAAAGGGTGGGCTCTAGGGGGAAACTGAGGCCCAGGGAAGGGGTGGGGCTCGACTGGGCCATGAGGTGACCCAGATCTGGCAACCAAACCCACTGACCACCCTGTCCTAGGGTGTGAGGACTGTGGCCAGAGAGGTTGGTCACAGTCCCCAGGGGCAGAGCAGTGGCAGAGGAGAATGGGTCCACCCAGGCCTGTGCTCCACAGTGTCCTTCCCTGGGACCCCTGGTGAGGAGAGGACCACCTGCCTCCTGCCTGCTGCCACTCCCAGCTGTCAGCATGGCAGCAGCTTGGGATGCCCAGCCTGGTGCCACCCCAGCTGGGTGCACAGGCTCTCTTCCTGCCTCTGCTGGGCAGAAGGATGGACAGAGGGCCCCTAGAGTGGCCACTGGGTGGACACAGAACCCTGAGGTGGGCTTGTGGAGGCCTGGATGTGCTGCCCATCTGCAATCAGAGGAGGGCTTCCACTCAGACAGAGGTGGCCCATCAGCAGAGGTCTGTCCTTCTTGGGACCCTGGCTTAGGGACCCGGGAGAAGCTCTGAGGAAGCTGAGGTCTTTGAGGTGGGGGTACGCCAGGCACAGACCAGGGGCCGGCACTGCTGGTGGTCCTCCCACCCCATGTGTCCCATTGGGTAGGAAGCTGTGGTGCCCTGTGCCTGTGCTCTGCCCGCTCTGTGGTGTAAAGGGGCAAGAAAGGCTCCAGCGCCCAGTCCCCAGCACTGGCACAGATGGGCAGCTGCCACCATCCTGAGTGGGGCCCCATGCCCAACCCTACACCACTGTCCAGCTGTCCTTTCCCCGGGAACAACCTGACATCCCTTTCCTGCATCCTCCCATGTGCTGCTCCCTCTTGGGGGCTTGGTCTCATGCTGCCTCCCCCAGGGCACCCTCATGGTCCCCAAGCCCCGCCCATCTCTCCCATGGGCCATCCTGCTGGGGGTCTGTGCCCGCCTTGGCTTGCTGGCTCCCCGCTGGATGGCATGGCCACGGGGCTGGGCTGCACTGTCACTGCCACGGTTAGGCAGGACCCGCGAGCTGCTCCTGTTCCTGCCCACGTCCCCATGTCCTGGCGCTGGCTCTACAGGGCCTGCCTCGCACCCCGCAGGCACAGCCTCTGCCTCCTTCAGTCTGCACTCAGCCTGGGCCCAGCGGTCATGCTCCAGCAACGCCAAATTGCTTGTCATTCCGCACAGGCAGCAGCCAGTTTTTCATCTTGGTGACTTTGTCCCTGTGTCCCCTCAGCCAGGATAGCGCTCCTTCCCTCCTGCCCCACACTAACTCCTCCCCACTTAGCACTGGGGGACCGTGAACCCAGCCCTGCTCTCCCAGGGTTGGGGGCTGCACTGCCACCCCATTTATGGTCAAGTGCAAGGGTGCCTGGCTCTCCTGCCCCAGCTGGTCCCCCAACTTGTCTGCACTCAGAACTCATCTGGAACACGTCCTCCCTGGTCACAATCCTGGAGTCCTACCTGTACCTAGACTAGAAGTCCACTCCTGCTGCCTGGGACCCATCACCATCCTAGCACACTGGCCTTCAGGTCTCCCTGGACTTCCTTGGGCTACTGTCCTTGGAGTCCCTTGGGCCTGGGGCATTCTTTCCTGGCTGCTCCACACAAGCCCCCGTTCTCCTGAAGGCCCCAGCCTATGTCACCTGCCAGGGCAGCCCACCTGGTCTCCTCCAGGGGACTCATGGTGACCTGCCACCAGCCCGAGTCCAGGGACCAGCCTGCTTTACTCCCCTTGGGCTCAAGTGCCCAGCAGAGTATCTGGTGCATAGCTAGGACCTGGACAGCCATGAAGGTGATGGTGGGGAAGACTGGCAAGGCCAGATTGCTCTGGGCTTCTGGCTGCGAGGTTGGATGTATTTCTCTACCTGGGCCTACTTTAGGAGTCTGGCAAAGACCCCCTGGGACTGCCCTCCTTCAGTTGGGGCCATGTGTATGTTCCTACTTCTGGCTGGCTACCAATGCCCAGCATCTTGAGTGGACAGCAGAGCTGGGGAGTAAGCAGCTGTCCCCAGACACCTCTCCACCACAGATGCAGGCCTGGAGGAAGCTGCGTGGCCTGTTCCCTCAGCTGCACCTCTGGCTGGCTCCTTGGGGAACCCACGTTGGATCCGAATTCTCTGCCCACCCTTGGGCCTCCAGAGGATGGCTTTGCAAAGACACCACGGAAGGTGCTGGCACCAACTGTTGAACACAGGGACCAGGCCAGGGTGGGTGGAGCCCTGCCGCTGAGACCCCACCTCGAACCTCCTGCAGCTGTCCTCTGCTCGGTTCCTGTGCATCCTGGAAGGGCTTTCTCTGCTTCCTTGTGACCTTGCTGACACCATCTCTGTGCCTGCTGAGGGCTTTTCCCAAGGGCAGGCGGGGCATAAGCAGCCAGCCAGTGCCCCAGCACCCACCTAGGTGCCCGCACAATCATGTCCTCAGCCCCTGTATGAGATGAGGAGGCAGGTGCTCAGGAGCTCGGGGTCCCAGGGCCTGGCTGGGTACATCTCTGCCAACCATTCTTGTGATGCCAGGTTTAATCCTGGTGCTTTATTATACTCCTCACCTCTCCCACAGCGGGGCCACTACCCTGTGAGGATATGGCTGGCCGTGGCAGCTGCACATAAGAGGTGCAGGGCCAGCCAGGGGCATGTTGCCCTCAGGCCCGATGGGCCGTGGTAGACAGGACAGCCTGTCACTGTGAGCACTGCTCTGGGGCTGCAATGTCCCCCTAGCCCCTGGACAGCCCTGGAGCGGACTCTGCAGATCTATCTGCCCTAGAAGGGGGAGCCAATGTCACTGCCCTGGCTGCTGGGCTCCTTGGAGAGTAAGTGTGCCAGCCTGCCCATGTGTGCACCTTCCTGTGCTATGCACAGTGCTGCCCTGTGGCCCACAGACAGGAGAGAACTGAACTGCCCTCACTGGGATAGCATGGATGCCAGGATCTTAATGCCTGCCCTGGTCCTGCCCCCTCCCTACTTGTAGGCACACAGACACAGCCTACATGGCTGCTGTGCCACTCCCCCCAACAGAGGCAGGAGTCAGGAGACACCGCAGGAAGCGTGTCATCCACCTCGTCTTATCAGGAAGCTGCAGCTCCACCCTGCTACCCCCTCTGTGCCAAGAGAGAACCATGTGCCAGCAGCCAGCACACTGTGTCCTGGGGAGCCCTCGGGGAGAGGGCAGATCTGGGCACCCAAGCTCGGGCAGAGCTGACCAGCCCTGGCACAGGTCCCACTCCTGCTCATGATGACCCTTGCTAAGCTCTCTCCATCCTCATCCTCCAGAAAGGCCTCCTGACCTCCCATGAGTTGGGTGGAGGGGCTGTGTCTGCTCCTCCTCCTCAGGGTCCCAGTGCAGAGCCAGGTACGAGGCAGGTGACGGCCATGTACTGGAGGTGTTCCGGGAGCACCACCAGCCCAGCAGCACTGGTGGGGTGGGGTGGAAGGAAAAGGCAGGGGCTACCTAGGACAGCAGGCCACTATCACAGTGCCCAGTCTGTGCCCTCTCCCTAGAGGTCATGGACTCCACTATCCTCAACCTGTCTTCACTGGAACTGGATTTTAGACAAAAGAAACAAACAACAAACCAAAAACTGAGGCCCCATGGAGCCACAAGATTCAAAACTTTAAACATGAGTCAGGGACAAGGCCAGGACTCCCCAACCCCAGGGAGGGGCTCAGCTGACCTCTTCTGCCCCAGGAGAGGGGGAGGTCAGAGATGCATGGGGCTCTGGAGCTGGAGAACCGGGACATCAGGGGTGGGGCCACGAACCTGGCATACAGAGGTCCTCCCCAGCCCTCATTAGGGCAGCGGCAAAGGGGTGACAATGAGGAGTGCTGTGCCTGAGGCAGGGAGGGAAAGTGGCCTGCTGTAATGCGCCAGAGCCTTCACATGTATGGAAGGCTGCAAAATTCCATTTCTCATCGACTCTCCCCAGACCAAAGTGGACTCCACCAATGACCCCATTTCTATTCTTTTCTTTTCTTTTTTTTTTGGTACAAGGGATTAAACTCAGGACCTTATGCTTTCAAGGCAGGCAGCAGAACCACTAAGCTAAATCCCCAGCCCTATGACACCATTTCTGATACCTGTTGTCCCACAAACCAATGTGGAACCCAGAGTAATCCCACTTCTGAAACTTGGTCTCCCCCAAACCAACAGAGATCCCTACAGTAATTCCACTTCCAATACCTGACCTCCCCAAAACCAATGTGGACCCCTACAGTAATCCAACTTTCCACACCCAATCTCCCCTAAAGCAATACAGATCTTGCAATAGTCCCAATTCTGATACTTAATCTCTCATAACCAATGTGGGCCCACTTCTGACACTTAATCTCCCCCGAACCAACATGGACCCTAGCAGTAATTCCACTTCAGACTCTCTCCTCTAAATCAACATGGATCATTTGGTAATCCCACTTGGGATACCCACTCTCTCCCAAACCAACATGGACTCTCACAGTAAGTCCACTTCAGATATGTGATCTCTCCTAACCAATATGAACTCCTGTGGTAATCCCACTTCGGACATCTGGTCTCCCTCAAACCAACATGGATCCTGTGGTAATCCCACTTTGGACCTCCACTCTCTGCCAAACCAATATGGACCCTCACAATAATCCCACTTCAGATACTGGATCTCCTCAATCCAATATGGACCCTTGTAGTACTCCCACTTCAGACATGTAATCTCCCTAAACCAACATGGATCCTGAAGCAATCCCACTCTGGTTCTCCACTTTCCCCCAAACCAATATGGACCCTCACAGTTATCCACTTTGGACACCTGATCTCCTCAAACCAATATGGATTCCTATGGTAATCCCATTTCAGACATCTGGTCCCCCCCCAACCAACATGGATCCTGTGGTAATCCCACTTTGGGGACCCACTCTCTCCCAAACCAATATGGACTCTCACAGTAATCCTACTTCAGATATGTGATCTTCCCCAACCATTATGGACCTCTATTGGAATCCCACCTTGGACATCTGGTCCCTCCCAAACCAATCTTGATTCCACAGTAATCCCACTTTAGGCTTCCACTCCCCCTCAAACCAATATGGATGCTCACAGTAATCCCACTTTGGACACCTGATCTTCCCAAACCAATACGGACCCCTATGGTAATCCCACTTCGGACATCCAGTCTCCCCCAAACCAACATGGATCCTGCAGTAATCACATTTGGGACCTCCACTCTCCCCCAAAACCAATATGGACCCCTATGGTAATCCCACCCTGGAATCTGGTCTCCCCCAAACCAATATGGATCCTGTAGTAATCATATTTTGGACCTCACTCTCCCCCAAACCAATATGGACCCTCACAGTAATCCCACTTTGGATATCTGATCTCTTCAAACCAATATGGATCCCTATAGTAATCCTATTTCAGACACCTGATCTCCCAAACCAACATGGATCCTGCAGTAGTCCCACTTTAGGCACCCATTCTCTCCCAAACCAATGTGGGCTCTCACAGTAACCCCACTTCAGATATGTGATCTCCCCAAACCAATACAGACTCCTATGGTAATCCTACTTTGGACATCGAGTCCCACCCAAACCAACATGGATCCTGCAGTAATCCGACTTTGGACCTCCTCTCTCCCTCAAACCAATATGGATTCTCACAGTAATCCCACTTCGGACACCGGATCTCCCCAAGTCAATATGGACCCATATGGTAATCCCACCTTGGACATCTGGTCTCCCCCAAACCAACACGGATCCTGCAGTAATCCTACTTTGGACCTCCACCTACCCCCAAACCAATATGGACCCTCATAGTAATCCAACTCTGGACACCTAATCTCCAAACCAATATGGACCCTGTGGTAATCCTACTTCAGACACCCAGTCTCTCCCAAACCAATATGGATACCTGTAATAATTCAACTTCCAACACTGACTCTACCCCAAACCAATATGGACCCTTGCAGTCATCCCACTTCTAACACCCACTCTCCCCAGCACCAATGTAGACCCCCACAGTAATCTCATTCCTGGCCCCACTCTTCCCAAAACCAATATAAACCCTTGCAGAAATCCCATTTCCAACACTTGATCTCCTCCAAACAATATGGGGCCCTTCAGTCATCCCACTTCCAACACCCACTGTCCCCAAAACCAACGTGGACCCTTGTAGTTACTCTGTTCCCAACATCCAGTCTCCTCCATCACCAA